GTACAAGATCCCAATGATAAATGTAACTATTTTATACCTAAAATGTACCAATAAACTTAATGGAAAAAAAATCCAATCCTGTGTAATAACTTTTGAAAAGAGTACCAATTTGAAAGTTTCCAATTTAAAAAGGTGTCACTACTATCTTCAGATATTACTGCTCAAAAAAGGAATTACTCAAGAGTTTCAAATCCAAAGTGTTGAGTCAGCAAAGACCCCTGAAAGAATTCGAGCTACCTTGCATCCCTCTGCTCCAAAACAGGGTGTAAGCAGAGACATGAGAAAGAGCCACCTCAAAGAAAATGGAATTTCAGGTGAGAGATGAGACACGGAAAAGTGAAGAGGAGCTTTACGTGCAGGAAAGGAAAAGGAGAGTAGGCAACTATTAAAGGAAGGAAAGAATCAAGAAGACAGAACAATGAGAAATTGGCAAGCCGGGTCTTTGAATTCTGTACTGTCATGCTTTCACTGACAGGATATCCAGTTCTCAAAAAGACCTGGCTCCTGGTGGCTCTGTAACAAGCACTGTCCACGAGAATTCTATAGAAAAGAAAGAAACAGAGAGACAGATCTTTTGCAAATGGAAAAGGGACGAAGAGCTGGAGGGAGGGAAGAGAGAGGGGACAGGAAGGCGACATACAAGGAATGAAGATGTGCTATGTACATGTACCCCCCCCCCCGGTGAATATAATGAGGATACAAGTGATCTGCTTATCTAGAAAGCAGGATTCCAGACGGGGCAAAAGTGAGAAAAAGACACAAGAAGGGATGCTAGAAACCTTAAGAGAACAAGCTCACAGCTAATGTGAAACAGGTAGAGGTGTGCCACAGTCTCCAGACACTAAGCAGGGAAAATGCTTTTGTGAAGTTGACATGGCACAGAAGGTAGTTATAGTCACTTTTTTTTCTTCTACAGAAAAACAAAGAATAAATTCCATAGCAGATCTGTTGTTCTCTAACCCTTTCACTGAAAGTTATACATTCTCACATAGCTCTTTGCTTCTTGGGACATTAGCGCCTTCTAAATCTTTCAAGACTTACAGCAGTTGTCTTCTTATATAATTAGAGTTTGATGACAAGTAAGATTTTAGCTCAGTGGTATTTCTCAGGAACTGTACCTGAAAACCCGACAAGAAGGAATTTAGAAAATACTGCTGAAAGCCTCAAAGACAAAAGTTCTACATAAAAGCTGCATGAATTGAAAGCACGAGGATACGACGGAACCACACACATAGAGGATTCTAAGGGGATGAAAATGATGAATGGACTCAGTTGTACAAGGAATACAAGGGTGTAAGAAGGTCTAGTTACATGGTGCAAGAGTATGAGATGCTGTTCTAAGCCTCACTGATTGGCCTTCATAAATGCTAAATACTTCTCTGGTATTTTAATTCCTCGATGAATTTATGGTTGTGAACTCCCCACCAGCACCACATGAGGGCTTTGTTCTAGATACTCAGACTGTCTTTTCTTTCACCAGCCAAGTAATGGGTGGCTTCTCTGGACCAAGCCACACAGAAGACACACACACGCCCTGTCCCTTTGTAAGGCCAGCATATACAGTTCACAACACAGCCTAATGCCCATCATTACAGGAGCTTGACAATTAGGCTTGGAACATAAATCACAATTTGATTCACGCCCAGAGAAGATGTTTATGTTTCCTTATCTCTACAATTTTCATCATGAAAACTTAGCTTTAAGAAATACAAATATTCTAATGGGAGTTTTTTTCCCCTTAAATTCTTTTATTGGTATATTTTAGGTATACAATACATTTATCATTGGGTGCTTGTACCTGTACATAATGTATCTTGGTTATTTTTTCCCCATTCCCTGCCTTCCCTTCACCCCACCCCCACCCCACCCTTCCCTATTTACAAAGACTGTGTTTCCATTTTTTTCTTTTCTCATAATTTTTCCTTTTCCTTCTTTCCTTTCCCCTTCCCCTCCCATTTCCCCTACCCCTTTGGACCTTTACTTCCTATTCAAATTATCAATTATTCGTTTTGATCATTTTAATCCTTATTTACACTTTCCGGTTCTCATTCCAGAGAAACTATTCGGTATTTACACATGTGTATCCTATTTATTTTTTTGTTTTGTTTTGTTGTTTGTGTGTACCAGGGATCAAACTCGGGTCCTTGTGCTTGGTGACAAAACCACTGAGCTAAATCCCCAGCCCTGTCCTATTTATTTCACTTAAGAGTATGGCCTCAATATGCATCCATTTAGCTATAAATGTCTCTAGTTTGCCATTCTTTATGCCTGAGTAGTACTCCATTTTATTAAAAAACCACATCTTCTTTATCCAGTTTCCAGTTGATGGGCACTTGGGCTGTTTCCAAGCTTTAGCTATTACAAACTGTGCTGCTATAAACATGGGTGCACGTATATCACTGTGGTATGATTCTTTTAATTCTTTGGGGAAAATACCCAGGAGGGGAACAGCTGGGTCAAATGGGACCTCTAATCCTAGTTCTTTGAGGTATCTCCATACTGATTTCCACAGTGCTTGCACCAGTCTGCACTCCCACCAACAATGGAGCAGGGTTCCTTTCTCCCCACAGCCCTGCCAGCATTTGTTATTGGCTGATTTCTTGATAGCAGCCATTCTTTCTGGGTTGAGGTGGAATCTCAGCATTGTTTTCATTTGCATCTCTCAAATGACCAGTGATGCTGAACATTTTTTCATGTGTTTATTTGCTGCTTTTACTTCTTTGTCTGAGAACTGTCTGTTCATTTCAGATGCCCATTTTTGAATTGGGTCTTTAAATCTGGGGGGTCTGGTTTTTATAAATTCTTTATAGATTCTAGATAGTAGTCCTTTGTTTGATCTAATAGGTTTTGGGTGTTGATTTTAAATACCCAAGAGAAGGAAGTACAGAAGCAGTTTCTAACTCCTATTTAAGGATGTCCATGTTTCCATTTGTAGTCTTTGGACACCTGCCAAATACTTCTCAGTTTTTTCAATGCTTCAAAGTCTAGCTTACTTCCTAAATTTACACCCTTAATAACTATGGCTTTGAAAGAAATACATAATTTACCAAAAAATTTCCCTACATCTGCTTTAGTTTTGAGTAAGCAGACTCCTAGACTGTAACATGAATATATATATATATAAATTCATATTTTAACTTCTAAAGTATATGTTTCTTGTCTTCTTGATATGACTGTACAGATCGAATCTTACATGTCTTTTGCCATTTATGAAATTATCCAAAGCATTACATTACATTATGAAAAAAAGTGATGCATAGCATTTAAGAGAGCATAATTAAGAGTTTTAAAAATTTTGAGTTCAGATTCTGGATATGTTCCTTTCTAGCTGGGTGAAGTTATTTAACCTCTATAAGTTTTGTGTGTGTGTGTGTGTGTGTGTGTGTGTGTGTGTGTGTGTGTGTGTGTTGCTGGGGATTGAACCGAGGGTCTCTAGCATGCTAGGCAAGCACACTACCACTGAACTATATTCCCAGCTCCAATTTTTCACATCTGCAAACTAAAGATAATACTAGCTGCTTCAGAGTGATGCTGAGTCGTTTAGCAAAATGTATATATAAACATGTGGTATTTAACACAGTACCTGGCCCATAGTAAGTAGTTTCTTTAATTTAGAATTGTGATTTTGTATATAATAGGGAACCCTTGTTTGCCCACTATTTTAAACTACAAAGGTCTTCCTCTATTTTTTCATAACATACTGCCAGGATTTCATTTCACATGAAGTTTTACACCACTGATCATCATATTTAGTCAAAAATTACTTCTCTAAGCTGCATTCCAGACAAGCAAAAACTTTCATCCTTCAAGCTGTGCCCAGGTGACAAGACCTGGTCTGTAACACCCTGCAGACACATGGACACATGATTTTCTGCAATTACCATTTTATTAATGGAGCTGAAGCAGAACTAAAGACTCCTTGGGAAGGCTAAAAAAGGTTCCAGTCAAGCCAGTGGGTAAAGACTTCGGGGCACAGGTTTGCTAAAGCCTGTCAAAATAAGCTCAGTGACTAGTTACCAAAGCCAACTTGTGAATAGCAAGGCTACTCCCAAGTCTGATCAGTGGCTTTAAAAAACACAATGAAAATAATGCGTTATGGTACATTAAAAAGCAAAGTCTTGGCCTTTGCTGGCTTTTGCTGGCTGAAGTGATTTTTTTTCGTGATGAAACAGAGTCTTTTATCCTTTGTGTAGCAGGTCATAATTTTTCCTAGATTAAATCATAACAGATTAAGAAAATCAGATACTACACCTCCAATGAAGGCTTCAGAAACTTTCCACTAGGAATGTCTGCAAGTGAGGCCACAGCACGGCACAGAAACTCAAAGCTATTGTCTCCCTCCACCTCATCTTGGGCCTCCTACAATGATGAGCAGCCAGAGGGGAAAATCTCTCTCTCTTTATACTACTACAGAAACTGCCTCCCTTGATGACACAGTCTCATTATCTCTGCACATCTAAGCAGAGATATTACATGGCCTTACCGCAGATGTTAGGCGAGCAAAGATTTCATCACTGCTTTCTTCAGAATCTTCAATTTTCTGATGAGACCTGTGAAAAACAAAGAACAAATTACTCATCTTTGGTGGCCCTGATTTACCGGCCAAGTTATGAGGAATAAAGGGCAAAAAAATGACACTATCATTGTGAGTAAAAGTATGCAAGTACCATACATCAGTACAGCCATAGAAATACAATCCTGTTGCAGGACAACTAACTGTTCCTTCAAAATAAGTAGCAAGAACCTTTGCAGTGCACCAGTGGAATCCTGAGTATGAAGCTGTTCTCCAAAGGAGACCTCAGTCAGCCCCACACACCTGACCTACAGATTTGGGCATGCTCACAAGTAGAGGAGAACTTAAGGGAAACTGAAATTCCCTTTAATCTGAATGAAATCTAAGGTTTGAAAATACAAAATGTAAATTTTGCACTATACTCAAGTTTCAGCCAGCCCAACTAATGCACTGTGAAATAGTATATTTCAGCCCTACCAATATAATGAGAACTATGAAGAATACAAAAATCAGAGGAACCTCCTTTATCAAAAGACCACAGTCCATGAGCTATAACTGTATATGATCACATGTTTAGGAAAATGTATATTTTTAACTTAATTCATGAAAAAATTTTCACCACATAAATATATATACTAACATATACAATTTTCTACTTAAAAAATCTTGTAAGTTACATTATTTTCTTTGGTTTGGTCGAAAGAAAAAAAACTAGCTAATATCAAACTGAATGTATAAACTTGTCTCCTAGATCTGTTTCCCCAGCAGCCACTCTGGACATACTGCCCGGATGTGGATGGACTCTCAGGAATGCCCAGAGGAGTCCTGGATCAGAGCGCAGTCTGGCGACAGGAACGCTGACCTCTCAGGGCCACAGGGCTTCTCCCTACTCAGAGGACAGTGGGCCAGCAACTCTGTAAGAAGGGAAAAGCTAGTTGGATCAATTCTGGCATTGGCTTCTTGCTTCCGTCAATGTTATTAAACCCTCTTTCAGGAAACAAGTCACACCCTTTAAATCAGACCAATGAATTACAAGCCATTGCCTTCCTGAGCCTTGCAAGGTGCAGGTGGGGAATGCTTGGGTTGTCAAATACCTCAATTACTCATGTACTAGCCAAGTCAAATGCCTGCTACTGATCTGCCTGATACAAACAGCGGCAACTGAGTGCTATAACAGCATATTTTTAAAAAAGTTATCTGGACAATAATGAACATTTCAAATAACAAGTTCTATTATTGAGATTCTCTACACAGAAGGTTTCCTTACAAATTGAGAAGAGATTTGAAACCCTGTATAACCTAGGCCACCAAACCAGCAGGCTTCTGTGATTCAGCTGAGGTGCCTGAACAGATCTGACAGGAAATTAAGAGCTGAACATGCTCGGCATGAGTGCCAAACAAGGGTTTCGGCGGCTTGCCTGTCTCTGGAGTGAAGTGTGGGCCGGTCATGTCTCTTCATGTTTCTCAGACCCCGCAGACACCTGAAGAATTAGTTAATGGGCATGAGGTATTTTGCGTGAGCACAGATTCTGTCACGAATCTGTTTTCAATAAGCTGCTGAAAGGAACGTGAAATTTCAAGGGAAGCTCATGTGTCTGCGACTGGTAATGGTTATTTCATGAGCAGCGACTGAACTGTTGCTGCTTTAGTGACAAATAATTCAGTCCCTGTTCGGAAGCAAAACTGCCTTTCATCATTCTTCCAGCAGAAAACACGAGCTGGCAAAGCTGCTTCTGAAGGAAATATGTGTGTGTGGGGGGGGGATCTCTTGGGAGCTGTCTGCAGCCCACATCCCACTTTTACCACTTTAGTCACCACGATTTATGGACTTAGGCCCAGAATGCCCGAGTCTTTCTCTAGCTTCTGAATCCCCATAAGCTTGCCTTATTTGTCCACCTGCCTTCTAAACGGCTAGAGGTAGTGATTCCAGCAGCTTTATGGGGTCCCACATGGGGCTCTCACAGGCTCCTTAAACTGAAGCTGACTCACACTGGCTCTTCCGGCCTCGCCATCTGGGCTTTGCCTCTCGCATCTCCTAGTTTCCCTCCTGTGCCCCCACCCTAGCCAGCCACCAGATCCTCTCTCTTCCCTCCCTTGGGTTCTGCTGCCCTTCAGTCCCTCCCTGCCACCCCTTTCTGAGAGTCTAGGCCCCAAACTTCTCTCGACGTTTGTCTCACTTGGAGTCCAGGAAGCTCAGGGGAATGGATAAAGAGCTCGACAAGGGAAGATGGGAGGAAGAAAGGAGAACAGCATTTGGCCACTCTCCTGCTGTCATCACCGCAGCTGTTTTGTACCTTATCCTCCTCCCTCGCTCTTTGTCAAAATGCCCAAAAATATCAGATTCATCTCCTATTCAATGTATTTTTACAAAATGGAGATAAACTGACTGTTATGTATGAAGATACATGTCAGTGCAGCCGAAGAAAGACTAAGTTCTCAATTACCAGATCAAAGTAGGTAATGAAACAAATGGGGCAGAAAAAGAAGGGTGATATTTGCATACTTTCCATTATTACTGAAGGGAATTGTGCTGTTCAGTGAATAAAAAAGAAGAGAGAAGGTGAGCTTTTCTGAGTTTGTGGTTAGAGAAGTGAAACAAGGAAACTCTGGTTGGAATCACCAGACAGTGGCAGTGATAGTGACAGAAAGGAACTTTCCCAAGGACAACCCATCCTCAAGAGTTTGTGCCAGCAGATGTCCTGTTAGGAACTCCACAACTGCTTCCCAAAGCCTCTGCTGACAAACAGTCCAAGCCAGATCTGGTAATTCTTCAAGGGAAAGTGCTAGAGACTGAGATCTTTATGTTTGCAAGGTCTAAGGATACTATTGTAAGGATACAGGGATGGCAAAAACCAAATGGCCTCTGCTCTTGCCCTTCTAACCAGTAAACTAGACACATCATCATTCTATTCACCCTAAAAGAAAATATCAAAACAAAAAGGCTTGCCCTTCCTAAAGGCTTCCCCACTTTAATGGAGGGCAACTCCCTCTTTCCAGTTAGAAGTCACAGTTGACCCACACCCCAACCCCTATCATATGCCCTGCATTCTATCCATCTTGAAATCCTGCTGGTTCTTCCTTCAAGGCCTTACAGCATCTCCCACTGGACCATATCCCACCTGCATCCCCAATCACTACCACTGTGGTCCCAGCCACAGTGGGCCCAGGAGCCAGAGTGGTCTTGCCAAAATATGTTAGAGCACGCCCTGCCTATGCTCAAAATCCTTGAATGACTCCCTATCACACTTAGCATAAGTTTTCTCTTATTCATACTTAATTCATATTGTACGTATTCAAGGTGCACAATGTGATGATGTGATTTCTGTACACACTGCAATAATTAGCACCACCACCTATTAGATCCCCAGAACATGCTCAGCTTAGAACCAGAAGTTTGGACCCTTTGATCAACATCTTCCCATTTTTCCTGCCCATAACATCTATATTCTGGAGGGGACTGTTTTATTTAACAAAGAAAATTCTCAAGAAAAAAGAAAAAGTAAGATGGTAGGAGAATGAGAATGAGTACTTTTTTGAGATCTTGATAACATGAATACAAACACCTGTTCACCTTCTCAGGAGAAGACAGGTTTTCATAATATGAGGCTACTGTCATGCAGACAGTAAATTTACCTAACACTAATAAACTGAATGTGATGGGTTTCATTAAGGGTCCAGGGTGCACAAGGATGCACTCATCTAGACTTAAAACCAGATATTACTGGCATTATTTTTCATTTATTTTTAGGATGCGAAGATTAATGATTAATATTTAATTAAACAGCTGCATTTCAAATGCTAATACAGTGGACCCTCAAGTCACCCACAGCCTGACATATGAACAACTTGGGTTAATTAGGTTAATGGAAGATTCATCTGCCTCTTGTTATCTATAGCGTGTACCCAGGGAAACATCCAGATCTCAGCTGGATTGACTTACAACTAACTTGAGTTGTAACCAGCCCTCGGGAACCAATCAAGTCCGTAAGTCCGGGGTCCACTGTACAACCAAACCTAAAAGTTCAATTTTTCCTACAATTCCTGTACTACTCTTAAATATAGATGTACTCTAATAAGCAATCTGTTCCCACACGTGGAATACGCCTTGTCTATAAACAATGGAAATTTCAGAAATTTTGGAGGACTCAGTGCTTCCTTGGGAGAAGGGATAATGAGCAATAACAAAGACTAAGGACAGCTGATTTTATAACATTTTTATAAAAACAATTTAAAGAGATAAATGGAAAATTTCTTCCCCTATGATCCTAACACAGAACTTATGCCAAGTTGCACTGTGAAAATTTTTTTGACAAATACTCAAAAAATATCTTATTTACCCAGATACTATTTCTTCTTTTCTCAGTATCATGAGAATGTGATTAGGAAAAGTCAGAAGTACAAAGGGTAGGTTTGGGACAGAGGAACGGCAACTCTAAACTTGAACTACCAGGTCACAGGCTGTGAATCCAGCCCCTTCCAGAAGCTGATGATTTCAATGAATTTTTCATGTTGCTTACACATGTCAGGTGGAAAAGGAAAAATCGTGCAGGTTAAAGCAAATAAAGGGCACAGAGGTGAGAAGGTACTCGGGGTAGCAGTGATGCTGTATTACGTAGGATACTAAAGGGATACGGGGACCTGATTTTGGAAGCCATCATGTAGAACTGATAATAAATATATCACTCATTGGATAAATCCAGAGGGCATAGCTAGAGTAGAGAAAACAGAGCAAACCAAACACTGAGCTTAGGACACATCACGTTCAGAGGTCAGTGTTTTAAAATATATGTTCTATTAGTCAGTAATGCCCAGCCTGAATAATCAGAGATCAACAGATCCAGAGACAAGTGCCATCAGAAAGACAGCTTGTTACTAACAGTCCCCAAGAGCAAGGGAGACACCACCCCAGGAGAGGCAGATGGGCAAGCACCAGGGGTGGTCAGGAGGCAGAGGAAATGAGGGGAAATGTGGACAAGAACATTTTGTGTGTGTGTGGCTCCTATAGTAACAAGTGAAATAGGACAAACAGGCTGAGGATTGGCGCCTTGGAGCCCAGGGGCGGCCCATGGTTGTACAGTGCTGGAAAATAAGGGTAGGTGACAAGTGGCCCAGAGAGTGAAAGCCTAAAAGAACAGGTGGTTGGGATGTGGGCTCTGAATTGGCTGATCCATATGAGGTATAACAGAAAAATACAGTATGTGTTTAAATTTTTAAAAATATATTAAAGACATATTATCATTAATCCTCCTCAAAACACTACCCCTCACTTCAAACACACTTAGCCCCTCATTCTGGCCACCTTCTGAAACAGTTCTGAAGTCCTCTTTTGTGAGTGTCTTGGTTGAGTTGTTGTAGCTACCTTGAGGTCCTGGATGGATTAAAAATGTTTACCTTTTGTAGTCATACTGACTTTGAGGAAGAGCTAGAAATTAAGTGATGCCAGATCCACTGAAGAAGGGGGATGAGGACACACTGAATGTATTTTTGTTTGTTTTGTTTTTGAGACAAGGTCTCACTATGTAGGCCTTGAACTTATGGTTATCCCTCTGCCTCAGCCTCCCGATTGCTAGGATTATAGGCATGCACCACCACGCCCTGCTAACACTGAATTTTTTTTTACAAGCCTGCCTTCCCATTGCATGGCACTGGGCAGCAGCATTCACTGTATTTTTTTATAATACTTCATAAAGACGAAAAAGAAGACTTCCAGAACTGCTTCAGAAAGTAGCAAGAACAATGAGATGACTGTGTTAGAAAGAAGGGAGAGTGTTTTGAGGGGGACTAATGGCAATGTGTCTTTTACTGTAATAGGTTTAAAATTCAAATATTCCCCGTAAGTTTCCATCACCCCTTGTATATAAAAATAAAAGGTGTGCTCACAGATAAATTCTTTCCTATCTCTATGAACTGACTGGTTCTGTGAGGTGCAGTCTCTCTGGGGACAGCAAGGCCCCAGATGTCAAAGCATTGAAACACATGATTAACACAGTCAAGAGGAGGAAAAATAAGCAAAGAACCTAAGAAAGACAAGAGATGTTATTCTGGAACCAAGAAGGGTTCTCCAGAAGGGCAAGAGCAGCTGTGCCAAATAATGTTGACGCGTCAGGTGAGACAGCTTTCTCATCACTGAGGCACAGTCCCCAACCAGACCACCTACAGGAGCAGAGGTTTGTTTTGGCTCACATATTCAGTCCTTGGTCAGCTGGCTCCAAGGCAGAATGGCACGTCAGAGAGACAAAGATGAAGAGAGCTGCTCATGTCTCAGCGGCCAGGAATTAGGAAGCAAAAGGAGGGGCGGGAAGGGAGGTCTACTCTTCCAGGTCACTCCCCAGTGGCCTGCCACTTCCAGCCAGTGCCCCATCCCCAACAGTAGCAAGTTCAGCACCTCCAGGATTCAACCAGCTTCTAAAAGCACTGCCAAGAGCAAGTGAGGCCTTTAGGGGGCATTCTCCGTCTAAACCATAACAAGGACTGAAAATCAACCACTGCATTTGGCCACTGTCATCATGACCAGGGTGCTTCCAATACAGAGAGCGTCCCCTCTGGCACCAGAGGCTCCCAAGTCTTTCCCTGTCAAGACCAAGGAGCCCCAGCACTCACCATGCACCCACAAGCTAGACCGTCAGGGAGCAGAGAGAAATCCAGAAAAACTGAGCTCAAAAACATGCTAAGCAGCTTAAAGGGGGCTTTAAAGAATACTATATTACAATCATTTTACTGAATCAGCTGAGCTGCAAGAGTCAAGCTTCCTACAGCCTAAATTCTCAAGCAAGGCAGTGATAGGGAGAAACACCTTGCTAGTCCTGTGGGAACCATTAGGCTACTTTTCTCTATGTTGTTACCTCTCTGCTGTTACTTCTTCATTCTTCATCAATTCTCTCCCTTCTCCCACCCAAAACAAACAAACAAAGAAACAAACAAAATCAGTAGCAGCTTCATTCCCCTTCCCAGTTTAAAAATTCTGTTTTAAATGAACAAATCTGCATTACATTTTTCTTTTTAGTAATGCATTTGTACAGAACACAATTTTGTTTACAGAGACATTAAGCAGTTTTCTTCCATTATTTTAAAGATACTTACAGAGGAGATGGAAAATTAGAAGGCTCTAATGTGGAACTGCCTAGATAAACTGTAATAGCTTTCAAATACCAAAAACGGTTGTTAAAAGATCCACAGAATGGGGCTTTCACCTCATAAATGGACAACAGAAGAATCAAAAGGACACCAGAGGGCATTTCACTAGAATGAATAAAAGTGAAACAACACATGGCTAAGGACACAGAATGATGGATTAAAAAGAAACAGAAAGAGCAGCAAGGTATGAAAAGCAAGATCATCTCAGACTAGACACAAGGTAGGATTGGGGCTCCCCCTTGAGGGTTGGGTAGAATTTAACTAGCAAGATCTAAAAAAAGAAGAGGAGGAGGAGGAATAAGGTGGCAGTGATGGCAGCAGAGGAGAGAACAAGAGCATCCTAGGAGGGAATAATTGGCATGGTCTGGAAGCTGAAAGAACAGAGACTGCCAGGTTAGAGCAGGAGTTCTGACGGGAACTCATGCATGAAACTCTGGAAAGGGCTGTGACAATGCAACTGACAGAGAACAGTGTCTCTGGGCATCTTTTCTCTGAGCATAGTTTATTGTTAGCTTGGATAATTCAAAGCATGGCTTTCCAAAATTTGGGCAAGAACATTCTATAATAGCATAGAAACTGGCTTATAATTCTAGTATAGGAAACCAAAAAGACAGTCCTCTCTCTCCAGAAAAGACTGGTGATGGGTCAGTAATTTTTCTTTTTATATTTAGTGCTCATAATAAGGGACTGGCAGGTCCATCAGTCCCCAGTGGCCGTTTATCTGTGGGAGTCACAGATCACTCACAAAAGCACATCTTTGAACAAGAAAAAAAAATGTGGCTGGTAAACAAAGCATGCTATAGTGAGTGTCTCAACTCCAGAGCTTGACACTTGTATTTATAGTGATCAGTGTGACAAAGCACTGCAAGAAATCTACAGTAATATCAGGACTCAAATTTTAAAACTGTTTTCATTTTCAGAAATTAAAGTTGTCAAGGGTTTCCCGTATAAGGTCATCTCACACACTGGTATTCCAATTTGCTTCTGAGTGAAGGGAGGGAGGCAGGGCTAAAATCATGACTGTTTGCAAGGTTACTTCCACTGCCCTCCTGACCCTGTTGGTCGACATGTGCGTGCGGGATGCACACAGCTCCATCTGTGTACAGGATAGGAAATGTGTGAGAAGAGCTTCCGGAGAATGCCAATCCTTTAGAGTCAAAGCCAGTCACAGCCACTGTGGTTAGGGGCATGCCACTCCTTATTAGAAAGCTTCTTAGAGGGCTGGGGATTTAGCTCAGTGGTTCCACCGTCTGCCTTGCAAGCGCAAGGACCTGAGTTCGATCCCCAGTACCAAAAAAAAAGAAAGCTCCTTAGAGTTTACTGAAATGCTTCTTGACATTTCTTAGGACATTTCTGACCTGTATTAAGAGCATATTACAATAAAGAACATTTCCCATACTCAGCCTAACTGAGTAACAACTGGATTTTGTTTCACCACCACAAGCCCCTTGGTAAACAGTGGTTGTGGGAAATCCATAACAATTTCACAGCTCAGCCTAACACTTTTACGGCTTTTATCATTTCTCAGATGGAGATGCTAGAATGACCCCCATAACTTGTGAGGACACACCACAGCAGATCATAAAAGCAGAGGTGTCAGAACTAGAGAGACATGGATTCAGACACTAAGACTCTGCTTGCTACTTCTGTGACCCCAAACAGGTTACCTGACCTCTGTCCCTCTGTTTCTTCACTTACAAAACAGGGATAATAATAGAAAGTGAAATAATGCATTTATTTAGCACAGTATCTGACATAAAATATATTCTGTGCAATCATTCTATTAATACAGTCTCATAAATATTCTAAAACTTCTTTGATAAAAATAGATAATATTGTCGCTTTAAGAGTAACTTATCTTTGTTACGGTTACATAGGTGTTTCTCTCTGAACTTATTTTCTTAACCTAAGAAATGAGGACAATTCTATTTGACCTACTAAGATCAAACAACTGAAAGAGTCAACAACATGGGAAAGTATTCTGAAACCTGAGATGTTCTACCTACATAAAAGTTTTCAACTGAAATTTGATCTTTAACTTGTATGTCGGAAATAAACTTGTCACTATCACCATCAGTAAATAAAAGCATGTCAGAATCTCCTTATCATGACTCAAGACCTGTTTCCAGGCCTCCTCTAATTTTAATCATATACTGATTCAATATCTTTATGTGATAATGATTCACATGTTTTAATTTGCCAAATGTTGCTTCTAGATTATTTTCAGAAAGGCCTGTTAAGCTCTTCCTTAGCACAGTCACGACTTGGATAGTGGATAAGATGTGAGTGATTATTTCATTCCAATTTAAGCCCAATCATATGTTTACCCCTAATTTAGATCTATATGGTACTCATATAGCAATTAGAAGTAGCGTGGTGCAGATGGTAAGACACGGATGTCTGGGATTTTTGTACCAGTTCAGCCATTTAGGAGCTGGATTTAATCTTCAGCAATTTATTTTTACCTTTCTGAACTTGCATGTGAGAAATGGGAATAGTCCATCTACCTTTTGAACAAGGTAGTAGAACACAGTTGCTTGAAACAAGACATCTTCTCTAAGGATAAGCGAACATTGCACAGACAGCATCTACTTACAGTTCACAGATGCCAGCTCTGGCAGGAACGAGAGGCACAAGCTGTAGCAGAAGTTTGACACCATTTTGCCATTCTTCTTCTCTTTCAAATTCACAGTACAAGTAGCTACATTCATCAGATGAAAACTGATAGAAAACATAATTATCTTGAAAGTAGAGGTGCTGGTCCACTGTTTGAAACAAAAAAACAGCAAAAAAGGTGTGTATTACTTTAAAAAATATATTAGATAGTCATAAATCAAATAATACATTGAAAGCCCTAATAATTATAAAGGTGAAGCCAGAAGTTAAGACTATAATTATGCATTCTAACCTCACTTATATTTACAATCTCATTGAATTTAAAAGTATTTTACTGGCTAGTCTATTCTTATTACTTGAAGCTCTGGCCAGCATATTCACACATACTTTATAATTTTCCTGCTGCACAGATAAATGCCAATGAAATCAATGTCAATTCAAAGAGGATGGCAAAAAATGTTTTTGAATGTCTAAAAGCAAACAAATATATTTAATTTCTTTAGTGATATACAAATATAACATGATAGCAAGTTTAGCAAGATTAGTGGTTCTCAACTGAGTGTGACTGTGCCCCCTTGAGGGCATAGTTGGTGGTATCCAGAGGCTTAATGTACGTGTGTGTGTGTGTGTGTGTGTGTGTGTGTGTGTAGACACACTGACATCCAGAAGGTAGAAGATAGAGGGACTAAAAATCCTATAATATGCAGGACAGTTCCCTGCAATAAGGAATTGTCCCATCCAAAATGTCAGTACTGCCAAGGTTTGAAAATCCTATTTCAAAGGAATCAAAAGGTGAAGTTTTTTTCCAAAAAGCATTAGCATAAAACATTTTGTTAACCAAAATCCTGAACCTAGCAAATAAGCTAATAATATCTCCAATTCCTCGAAAGTAGTGAACCAATTTTCTAAGTAAGAGTATGAGAAGTGAGGTATTACTGCCTAAGAAGATTTACAGGAACATCCTCATCTGTACCATTCTTTCACCATGGCAGCAGGATTATGTCCTCAATATTCATGACTGATAGGAAAAAGGGCTTCTCCATAAGCAACCAGCACCTGAGAGACTGAGCTAAATAAAGAAACCAGATTGCTTGGCTTCTAATCCTTCAATTCCCTGGGCTCAGCTAAGAAAAGAGATATTGCCATCTATTTTAGTTTCTAGTTAACATATATTTTCTGTCCTGTTAAAACAGCTAACGTTCATAGGTCACATCTCTAAGTGTTCATGATTACTGATTCAATTTAAATGGCACACACATCCCACTCGTAAAAGCAGTTTCTGATGACTACTCTAAGTACAGGAAGATAAATACACATTAGGAGCAACTAAAGATGTCACTAACTAAAAAAAAAAAGTTTAAGAGCACATTTTGAGTAGGGAAGGAAGGTATGGTAAAGGAAAGATTTCTACAGGTCTTAGTCTATAAATCCGCAAGTACCTAATTATTTTTTCAAAATGTAGAAGAAATAAGTGACTCCAGAGATGACCTGTCATTTTTACTTAGAACATAAGAAACACTTACCTTCAAAAGCAATTTCCATCCAGTTTATAGTATACTCTAGAAAACCAAGTACATTTTGGCATAATAGCTTAATCAAATAATGATGCTGTGTCTTTATAACACACAATACCAACCTGATGACATGATCCCCATGTCCAATAGGAGCTGCCAGACCCCTATGGCCATAGCTCTGCATGGGACAAAAGGACAGTGCTCTAGAAGCCAGTCAACCAGTTCTGACCCAACGCAGCTTTTCCTGGACAAAAACAAAGCCATGCACAGTAAGAATCTGCTGTCACATTTGCCATAAAATTGATATTATATACCACTCCTTTCCTGTGCTTGTATTTTTAAATAAGGAGCCCAAGAATAAATGTCCTAACTTCTCATTTGCCTTTTAGATTATTTGCCTTTCAGATTAATGTTTCACTATCACTTCCTTGGGGAAAAATAAGAATCAAATTCTCACCACCTAATAGGTAGTACTCATATATCTTTCCAAATGAACACTATCTGCTTATGCCACTAGAAAATAATTTTTAGGAAAACAAGAACTATACATAACTACTAATTCCCAACAATTAGAACAATCCAGGTCCCATGGTGAGTTCTCAAAATTTAATTTGTTTGAATGAAGGAAGGAATAAATTTATCAGTCCTTTATATAATGTTTCTGCCTTGAAAGCCACATACATCAAGTTGATGGTGATAAATTTTGGTTCAACCATCTATAGATTTTTTTTCTAGTTCCTTTGAGAAAAAAAACAATTCTAAGAAGATTAGACAAAATTGAGACCATTTGCCAGGTGTGATGGTGTATTCCTGTAATACCAGGACTTGGGAGGCTGAGGCAGGAGGATTGCTGCAAGTTCAAGGCCAGTCTACACTACACAGTGAGTTTAAGGCCAGCATGAACTACATAGTGAGACCTTATTTGAAAATACACACATACACACACACACACACACACACACACACACACACACAAAGAAAAGAAAAAAACCTGGGACCATTCAAGACAATATGAAGTTTTGGTTACCAGTCTTCAAAGATTAAATCCTAAAATCTGTCTCAAAGAACAACAACTTTGATTGTTCATCTTTTTAATATAATCAGAGGGAATCTAGTTAAGCAGATCATAAGTCCATAAAATCCAGATTTGTATGTTGGATCCTACTAAACACACACACACACACACACAGACACAAATCATCTCTGTAATCTGTCTTAAAATATACAACTATAGTGCCAGTCTGGGTATTGCAAGCAGTATCTTCATACCTACTTTCCCATCTGTGTTGGCTTCAAGGGAAAAATAAAAGAAAGCTTTCTCAAATATATTTTTTTTCATTTGCAGAAATGTGATTGTATTCTATCCTTTCTTATGAGAAAAGATCACTAAAGTGTTAAAAGACCGATGGATCATGTAATGGCAATCTTTATTCAATAGTCAGTACTGAAAGACATCAGTATTTCTATCCCTTGTGATTGGCACAAACATAAATACTTAGTAGTTATACTGTAATGAGTCATATGAGGAATTACCATGAGGTGCTACATTTTCTGGAGTGAGAAAAAATATGGTAGTGGACCTTTCTGTTGAGATATTTGATCAAATATTCTAGTTTTGATATAGCACTTTTTCTGGTAAAATATCACTATTTGAAAGATGCTCTAAGGCAATTAAACCAATTTTAGATATATTCACCTGGAGGTTAGCATTTAGAAAATAAAGACAGTAACTGTCAAATATATGAATGTTTTAAAACAAAATAAGAAAACAGATGGCAACAAAACAGACAATTAAACCAATCAATATTAACTTCTCATTCTACAGGACACCTTTCATATTAAAGGTTCAAAGTGTTAATTAACAGATCCCTCAACATCTCTCCATTAGTCAGCATTTTTAGGCTTTGAAAGGAATTTTATCCCTCAGATTAAATTCTGTATCAACTTAATTCATATCCTCAAAACAGTGCAACTCCTCACCTGCTCTGGGTGCCTGATATCACCTGAAATATGAAAGCATAGGATATAAAATTTACTAAACAAACCAAATTACCAAGCTGCAAAGACTGGCTACGTAGATACCTCTGCTTGTTTGTTCACAGATGATGGGCAAGAAGTTTCATAGATCAGGGATTCTCAAAAATCATGAAGAGTCACCCTGGGGTCTTGTTAAAATACAGAGTGATGTGGCAAGGCTGTGTGAGACCTGAGATTCCCCAGATATACTGGGGACCACAAAGTCAGTCTTCCAGCTCTCCTTTGTCATTGAGAAGGGCTCACCCTGTTTGGAGGGGTCAGGACTCTGAACCAATATGCTAGTACACAGTATTGCCACGACAACCTTAACGAATAAAAGGGCCCTACTCTTGGACAAGCTACTCTTTCAGTTGTACATGATCCCTTTCCACTGCTCCCTAATTTTATCAAGTTGTTTTAAATCACTCTCAACCATCCATTAAACTCCTGGTCCCTGGACTTGCTGACCAGATCTGCAGCAATTCGGTGAAAATATCTATATCCACCTGACAAGGGATGAGCAGTGAGGAAGAAAACAGGGTTGGTTGGAACAGAGCAATTTAAATACCAACAGCAGTTCTTACCTACAGTGTATCTTCAGTCTGTACTCAATCCGGAAACTGTTTTGAGAACATGCAGATCTAACTACATTGCAGTACTGGGCAGGAACATTGTGATACGGAAGTGATAAGCTGCAAAGCCCATTGACTGCTATAACAAAATACGAATTTTACCAATCTTTGGAGTGGAAGTTTGTTTATTCTTGGCCTCCTCCTGTCTCCCATTATAATTTTAGCAATTAATTCAAGGTAATGCAGATGCTAGAATCAAACATTAATGAAGTGGTGGTATTTAATGACTTTTTTGTGCAAAACTGAAGTCTCAGAAGCCAGTGTGACTTCCTCTAGTACCAAATGAAAAGTTTTCAGTTTTGAAAGTGAATTCTCCTGGGGTGTATGGACCCAGATTAGAAAAGTAGTTCTGTCCTGATCACAGCAAAACATACACTCTCTCCACTTTACTCCCACTAAATCCTAAATATGTTCTGACTTCAATCTTGGATGGTTCTTTTTCCCGGCACCTGATTAACATACATCTCACCAGAGACTACAATAAACAAACAAACAAAAAACTAAGAAGGATGATGGAGTTTACAACAGCCTTATGTGGTGACTAAAAAGAATCCTATAAACTTAATCAAAGACTTACACATATAATTTTAATTTTTAAAAATTCAGATGTGTCTAAAGTTGATACTATCATCTATTTTAAGAAAAGACAAGAAGAGACTCTAAATGAAGTAGAGTCCCTCCTCCTCCCTGCTGTCTGCTTGGCCTGGGCTCTGTCCTACTAGTTCTTAGACCAGAATCTCTAGCGCGAGACAGAGTGGATACCAGAGCTTCTTCAATAGGTTCCTGGAGTCCAAATACACCAAAGCATTGTCTGTAGACAGACATGGTAATGTCTAGTCCACGACAAATTTTTTAAAATTTAAGAAAAGACTTGTGTGACTAATTAATTAAATATAAGGATTTTACAGTGTTAATTCATTGTGGTTCTTCCCCAGATTTTGTATTTGCTTAATTAATGGCTCGTTAGAATATGAATGCTGCCAAGCTTTTGATGTTAAAAAATGCTTGCTTGCAAGGGTGGAAGAAATTTCTGGGGCATGAAAATTCTCTATGTCATGATAATGGATACACAGATAATGATGATACAGGTGTATTATGAATAAAAATTCATCAAGCCATATACACTTAAGATTTGTGCATTTTATTGCATATTAATTATGCCTTAATACAAAAGACATAATTAGTCTTCTTACTCTGAAAATCTGGGAATCATTATCTCCCAAAGCCAGGCCATAATGAAAATTTTTTCATCTGTGGCCAATGGAAAAAACAGAAATATTATAATAAATTTTTCACAAAGCTAAATTTATTTATCTTAAAGGAACAGCCTTTATTCTGAGACTACTTTCAACTTTTTGGTGTCATTTATTCTGAGTACTAGTTTTACTCATTATGGTACTACAGCAGTATTTCTTTAAGAGAGAAGAGTAATAATAAATGATAACTGTTTCTTTTGTAATTTTGTAGTGTAGCTTAAATTCTTGGCAAAATCAAAGGCTGATAGTTCACTTTTTTTTCTTTTTGAGACAAGGTCGTGCTAGTTCAGGTTGGCCTGGAACTCACTACATAGCCCAGGCTGGCTGTAATACATTGCTGCTTTCTTTACTATCCCAGGCAGCCAACTCTTGTCCTCTGCCAACCTGCCTCTCCCCACTCTGCAGTGCCCCAAGAAGGTGGCTCCCTCTCACCTGGAGGGCTTGGGCAGTTCTCTCTGCCTAAGCATCCAAATGTCCTCACAGAGCCTTTGTAAAGTCTCTAAACAGAGGATCTATAACTCCTGAGGTTGCCAGTGCGGCACATACCCAGGAAAATACTGTTATAAAATATCGCATTTCAGGGGAAGCACAGCAGAGGCCACGCTGTGGCTGGGGATTCTACACCCTAACTTCAGAACAAGAATCTAATAAGTGCTAAATTTAACAAAAGAAAAGCCACCACCAGAATCCCCACAGACACACACCAGCCCCTTCCACTGCCAACACCATGATGGTCCACCTCTCTCTGATCAAGGTCACAACATTAAGGCAGTCTTTTTTTTTCCCCTGAAGGAGGATCTTTGACAAAGTGTTAGGAAACTGGGTTACCTGTAAAACCCCTTAAGGTTCACTCTGTCCTTTACCAGGTCAGCTGACTGAACGATAATAATATTCCTCAATGCTCTTCCTGCACAAGAAGAATTCTCTCCATAAATCTAAACAGAAAAGACAGACATGCACTGTAAATGTAGAATGATAACATGACAATTTGTAAGCTCCTAATGGCATGCTATATGCAAAAAATCATTACTAAATCCTTAAGCTTGAGGGGCATTTTAGCCCGTGTAAGTACAGATCTATAATTACCTTATTTTATTTTGGTACTGGTACACTTATGCTATTAAGCTATAATAATTGTTTTCCAAATGCTAAAGTGCTTTACTTAACTATAATTATAAATAATCTTTTAAAACACAAAGTTTTCAATGTAAAATATTGACCGGTTTAAAAATACAGTGTTTCTATCGCTGTAGCAAATTGAAGAGTGTATTTTTTATTATATACCAATTCTGCCATATTGATAATTCATTCACATAAGGGGCTTGGGGAAGATGAAAATAATTTTTCCCTCTTTAGTGAACATCTTGAACCATGACACATGTGACAGCAGGCTGATTTGCTCTAAAGCTTCACTTAACGGCTGAGCTCAGAGTTAATTCTAAGTCATTTAGTTTCATCGATAGTACTTTACAATTTCATCTATCAGATAAAAAGTTCATTAAACTTCTTTTTTTAATCTTCTAATTCTCCCATATGAGTCTCTTGATTCTTGGAGGATGAAGTAGTGTACTCATTAGTTCTAGAGAAGTTTAGGTCCTTCTGTGTAAAACTACCTCCTTCTAATTGCATCTTCCTCCAAAGCACAATGATGTCACATAAGGGAAGGAGGCTAAATGAAAATGAACAGCCTTCAAAGGATAAACACTTGTAAAAAGTAATATATATTGGGTTGTTTTGATTTGTTTTGCAGTGCTGGGATTTGAACCCAGGGCCCCCTGCATGCTAGGCAAGTGCTCTACCTTTGGGCTACTCCCCCAGTTCTTGGCCATCTTTACTCAGAGCAAACACTGATAATATATTATGATTTGATAGGTAACACGTCAACCCCATCTTTATACTTTCTTAATTGTCCTGATTTTGTCACCTAAATATAACACGATGAGAAAGTGAAAAGGGCAGAAAATGATTTATGTTTAGCATGTTAAAACCTTTTTTTCTTCAGCAACTGTACCTTAGACAAAGGACTACTACCTAGAATAGATAAAGAACTGAAAAAAATCAGACCTCCCAAATTTAAAGACCCAATTCAAAAATGGGCATCCGAAATGAACATTTTTCAGACAAAGAAGTAAAAGCAGCAAGTAAATATATGAAAAAATGTTCAACATCACTGATCATTCGAGAGATGCAGATGAAAACAATGCTGAGATTCCACCTCACCCCAGAAAGAATAGCTGCTATCAAGAAATCAACCAATAACAAATGCCGGCAGGGGTGTGGGGAGAAAGGAACCCTTCTCCATTGTTGGTGGGAGTGCAGACTGGTGCAACCACTGTGGAAATCAGCATGGAGGTAACTCAAAGAACTAGGATTAGAGGTCCCATTCAACCCAGCTATCCCCCTGGTGGGTATTTTCCCAAAAGAATTAAAAGAATCATACCACAGCGGTATATGTCCACCTATGTTTATAGAGACACAGTTTGTAATAGCTAAAGCTTGGAAACAGTCCAAGTGCCCATCAACTGGAAACTGGATAAAGAAGATGTGATTTTTTTAATGAAATGGAGTACTACTCAGGCATAAAGAATGAGAAACTAGAGACATTTATAGCTAAATGGATGCATATTGAGGCCATCCTCTTAAGTGAAATAAATAGGACACACGTGTAAATACCAAATAGTTTCTCTAGTGTGAGAAACTCAAAGTGTGATCAAGGATATACACAAATGAAATTGCCTAATAACATATTTCTCAGATTGTGTTTCCATTGCGTGTCATATGACTGTATCAAATTTAAATTAGGGAGAAGTTTGGCTCATGTGTAGTCTGCTAACTAACTGGAATTTTTTTCCAGACCACTATTTGTTCAATGTTGGTTTTGGGGATCTTTCTGAAACAAATCACATCCTCTGGTGTCCTGCTGGTCCTTGAGATGCTTTTTTAAGTTATATGGAAAAATGTTTAAGTGCTTTTCAGTTTTGTTTTGGTTGAGTTCTACTGTATTTGAATATTATTGTAGTTTTTTTCCCCTTGCATTGTTCTTCTTTGAATGGTTTTAATTTTTGTATGTGTGTGTGTTTGATAATAAAGTTATTTTTTAAAAATCTTTTTTTTTTTAATCAAAGGTTGAACAAGCCAGAGATGACAGAAAGTATTACAAGGAAAGAGGTGTGAGGCAGCTGGCACCTGGCTAGTCCTAAAATCCTTCACGATCACTCAGTCATTCAAGAGGCATTTGATGAGCAGTTGCCACATGCTAGATCTTTTCCAGATGCTGGGGATACAGTGGGGAACATCATAAGAATGTCCTTGCCTTCAGAAATCTCAGTCTCCTGCTATGCTAAAGAACATAAATGTCTGTTGATTGATTTTTTTACTCCAATCCAATGTAGACGCTCATGTGTTCTCATCAGTGAGCACACGGGACAATTCTCTAATAGACAACTATAAATATACATCTCCTCTTACACAAAGTTTTCAGTGTAAGCTATCTGCTATTTGTAAAATATGGTGTTTCTATCAATAAGGAAAACTGAATAAAGTATTACATATTTACTCTGCCATACTGACAACATACTCATGTAAAGGACGTGGAAAATGAGAAAATATCTATTTTTTCATATCTCATGAACATCTTGAATGATGACACAATGATCAAAACATCCCAAACATCTTGGTTGTGTCATCCCTGGTAGGTGACATTGGAGCATTCCTATGAAGCCCCATAAGGTCAGGAGCAGAGGGAACAACTATAGCTTGAGAATTCTGCGCCAGGATTTGTTAGAGACAGACAAAAAAAATATATATATATATGAGAGAGAATGAGAATGAATCATACCTGGGAAGAAGTATGTTCAAGGTATGGATTGGAAATTCTTCTTGACAGAGTCTATTAAAAAAAAAAAGGAAATTAGAATCAATCAGAAACCTTTGTCCCTAAGAGCAAACACAGGCATCAGTAGCAGGCCCCAAAGTGCTCATGCTGAAAACCGAGTTTGACTCTCATGCCATGGGCTGTACACATTAGCCTCCTCCTCATTGAGCGCAACTATCTGGTCGACATTCATGCGGCAGGACAGGGGATTCCATCTGAACAGCTCGCAACCTAGAGAGCGCAACCAATGAAAAACCACAATGCAAAGACTGGGATTTGGTGCTTGAAACTTTATTCTTAACATGATTTAGATTCCATTTCTCCTTTCCTTTGCCACTTTCACCACTCTTACTCAGGCATTAAGGCGCCGCTATCTACCTCAACTTGTAGTATTCTCTCTCCAGCTTCCTACTAGGCTTCTCCAACTGAGCAAGATCTATTCATTAGAAGAGTCTGTCACTCATATCCTTGCCTTGGGTCACACCATTCCCCATGCTCAAACCCTTATCTTCCTTGACACTTCCCTGAATGCCACTCAGAGCCCACATTTGTGGAGTCACCTCCTGGGTGAAGTTCCTACCACAAAGGTTTGTTACTGTTTGGAGCTACTGATTTTGCTGTTATTCTTGTGGCAGTCCCTAAATGCCCTGTATTGCGGCCATTTTTCCATGTGTGCATTCACCTGAAGGAATCCATACATTCCTTCAGTGAGTGCTGGTACCTTCTATTGCTTTGCTTTCACAGCATGTCGTGCACAACCCTGTATAGAGATATTTATTTTTCTATTGATTTATTTAATACATTCCCTTATTGAAATACTGAGCAACTTAAAACTTGCATATGCACTAGGCTGATAATATGAAGATCGATCATCATAATAAATTATTTTTCCCCTAACAGGAAGAGTTTTAAAAATCAATATGGTAGACTAGAATCAACAATCTTTATTACTGATCTAAATGCCAAAATCCACTAAATCCACTAAAACAAACAACAGCCTCCCCCAAAAGTAAATACTTCACATGATCTAGTTCAAGAGAAAGCTATTAGATAGAAACAAATTCTAAGAAACTGGGCAGAGGCATTTTCACAAAAGAAAACAAACTACTTGTCTTTCTCTCCTCTGCCACCCTAAATCTACTATCTGCACACTAGTGTTACACTCACACAGTCCCACTTAGCAGAAACTTCCCCCTTGGAAGGCTTGTTTCAAAAGACTGGTAAAGTGAGTAGATAAAGCAATGAATAGATAACACTGTTAGATAAGCTACTAGCCCCCAGGGAATGGGCGAGAGCAAAATAGTAAGAACTGTCTTTTATGGGACACAATTCCTGGATTTGTTGTCAGACTCCATGAAGCCCTCTCTTCACTGGCCCCAGGGGGATGCGCTTTTCATTAACACTTTAGAATAGCAGTTCTCAAACGTGTCCCTCAGCTCAGAGGAAGCCACAGAGCTCTTTGTGGATCTCAGTAAAGTACTGACCTGTTCAACTTAAAACAACTCTCCTAACTCTGTACTTCTGTAGAGACCACTTTGAGTATTGACCAAAAATAGCAAGGACCATAGATTTAAGGAAAAAAAATAACAGGGATTATCCCATCCAGCATCTCATTTTTAACAAGTACTGGGAAAGAACTGTTATTTAATTTCAGAAGAGGAGCACCAAGGACCAAGACTGCTGCTCTAAACTACCTCCAGGGTTGCTGTCCAGCATTTACCTGCAAGAGCACCACAAGGACACCCTAGAAAAATGCACCCTCCCCTCCCGTTAACATTCTTTCCTTCACATACTATCATTCAGCTGTTTTCAGCCCATCACTGAACACCCTGGTTTTCCCCTCTCAGGAGTCCAAGGCTGTGTCTCACCACTCCTGTAGCAATTTGCTTTCTACTCATTTTATGTTTATGAAGCACTCACTGAGCTCCTGGTCAGGCACTGTGGGAACTTCCAGAAACAGACACAAGACCAAGAAATCACCCCTAATTTACAGAACTCCTTTATTACAAAACACAGAATTTACTTTAAACCCATAAATTATTTCTTCCCCCTGATGGTCTTACCAATTTGCCCAATAATGTCAGACGGCTGGTCTATCAAAGCCAGGCGTCCTCTCCTGAAAGGCTCACCATAGTATCTCACGACAACAATCCACAGACAAGGCGATAATTCCTTTTTTCTCTTTATTTTCAACTGCTCAGAACTACTTAATGTGGATGCATTGTTTCTTTCATGGAAGATATATACATCCCAAAGAGAAGAATACTAACAACACGAGTGGAAACAGATTTTAATTCAAACATTTTTTTCCTGTCCATTTTAGTGAACTATGAAAAATGATTCTCCAAATGATTCCAGGCAAACCTCATATTTTACACATTAAAAGACAGCAATCCTTTAATATTCACAAATGAACTTCCAGAAAAATTAGTGGCATAACTCAAAAGGAGAATTGATTAGCAACCATATATTACCTTTTTTTTTTAAGTTGGGTGTCCCTTAAAATTAAACTATAACAGTCCATGAAGCTAGGTCTGAACCAACCATGGAACTCATTCCAGAGTTGCTAAAAATATTTTGCTGAAGGACATAACGGACGTAAGGCACATGTTTCACCAGCTCTTAAAGGAGCTGCCTTATTATTACCCTTAGTTACTTATGTTACTAAGAAGCGGGAAAAATAAGGGAGAAAGACTTAATCATTTCAACTGCTACTGAAGTGTAACATACCCTGCTACTAACATGAACCAACAATGCCAGGCTTATCAATAATGCGAGAATTTGTTTCATGATACAACTTTTTGTCACCTTCAGCCACTGTCCCTTCTCCCATTCTGGGTGATCAAGTAGAATATGAAGATGAAATGGTAGAATAAGTATACCTGAATGTCTTACAATCTTAGGAATCTGAAAAGCTTCATAAGTAACTGGTGGGCACATATGTTAAGAGATTACAGAATAAAACAGTAAATGCGGTGATCTATTAGGATGTGTAGCAGATTTCTAAGACTGTGGGTCCTTTTGAAGCCCCAGGATAAACTTACATCTCCACCAAAGATTGATCAAGATTAAAAGGACAGAATCCCAGCCAGTTTGTAGGCCTGAGAATTACAAGGTGATCATGAGTTCAGTGTTATGAAAATCGGCAAGCAGAGCCAGCTGCGGAGGTAGAAGGGCAAGGAACCAAACTCTGTGTGAACTCTGGTTGCAATCTGGACTCACAACCATTTCCTTAGGGATCCAAGGGACATTCCCACAATCCGCCACAGCCACCAAGAGCATTTGTAATAACATGTCAACATAACACGGCCACACCAAAGTCAACAATGTACTGGAAATTATACAATATCCATTTCCCTGAGACACATTACGAAAGTAGAATGAAAGGAAGGTAGGTGACAGAAAGGCTTATCGAGCAACTCCTTGTCTTAAGCACCTCTCCATGTTAGTAATTGCACCCATCTATCCCTATGTTTACAGACAAGTGGCCAGAGGTTCAGAGAAATGAAGTGTTTTAATAAAAAAGTCCCAGGACCTGAAAGTTAGAGAGAGGACCAAGACAAAAGTGACTTGATTCCAAAGTCACCTTCTATTTCAACATGCTACATGTTAGTAAATAATAGTAACTAAGTTTCTGCTATGTGCCAGAGACTATACTAAGTATTTTTTATGCATTGTTATCACTTATCCTTGAAAAACTGTGAGGTAGGTGTTATCAGTAATTTTATTTTGCAGATGACTAAACCAGACTCAAAGAGGTTTAAAAATTTGCCCAGTGTACAGCCTGCACCTGTCTTCAGCTGCTGCTCCATACATGTATATTTTAACATAGAACATGATGATTTAAGAGCAATATGACAAACAAGTACATCTAACTTCATTAAGAAACCACAAGTAGGACCTGCTAGGTCCAGTAGTTTTCAACCCTGGATGTAAACAGAGCCTGGGAAACTGAAGAGAAACAAGTAACACAGGCCAAAAGGTCCCACCCCAGTCACACTGCACAAGAACCTCTAGGAGTGAGGCCGTGCAGCTGGGTTTAAGTAAAACTGTAAAAATAAATGCCCGAGAAAGAAAATTTGCTCCTCTCCTCCTCCACTTCAGCTGTGGGGCTGGGAGCATCCCTTAATCCTCACCTCCAGTACACATCCTGCCTGCCAAAGGAAGGGAATGCAAGTCATTTACCAACAGCTCTGGTATCTGAGGCTGAGCCTCCAAGTGCCTGTGTGAAACAAAAAGCCTCTGTTCAGCAAATCCCACCCTGAACCTGCTCCTGTCCTGTGTTTTCCCTATACCCCATCCTAGACGTAGCCCTAAGCCAGAGTGTCTTCACGTCTCCACTGAGGCACAGGACCTGCGTGGCTTCTGAAAGTGTATACTCTTTTAATGGCATCTGGAGAATTAAACTTAATTTTGACTTCCTATTATCAAAGGGCTTCATTCTAGTATAAACATGTTTCCTTACTTAAAAGCTAAAGTGGGAAAGGAAAGTGGGTTCTGGGAACACTTACAAACATTTCACAATCTGGCCTGCCTAAAGAGATAAATTATCAAGATCCCCAAGCTTCTGGGAAAACAGACATGATAGGTACATCAGAAACAAACCTCAAAGCTTCATCATTTTGACTTCATTATGTCCTTAGGAAAGTACCTTTTTTTAAGGATGTGTTTTCAAATAAGAGAATAGTTTTGCCTACCAGGGTGGGCTTCCATGGTTAACGGAATTACGAAAAGTCTCTTTACAATTTAGGAATCAAGTAACTAGAGGTTTAGGAAAAGTGGTTAACAAGCTTACCTCTCTACTTGTCATGGAATTCCCTACTTTTATTAACACAAACCCACCTAGTTACAGCTGCACTCCAAGATGGACCCTTCCCACAGCAGCTCAGACTGACCAAAACTGGACACTGTGAGCAGCCAAACAACGAAAGAATTTATTTATAGCTCATAAGATAAATATCCATGAGCCCATACTGATATAAATAAATAACTGAATAAAGCAACAAATAGGGGTT